TTTTCGGTCAATTTCATCGGTTAACCGAACAATTTTGCATTTAACCGATCATTACTCGACCAAGATTTTTCGCTTACTCGCACACCACTACTAGACAATTCCTCCTTCCGCCGGCCAGAATCCTATGGGCCAGGTAAGTTATTAGTGGGGAGAAAACGATGAGTAAATGTCAAACAGGATCCATAGGTGGTTAGAAAGTCAATAACCAAAAAAGATTAGTGCCATGCTAACATTAAATGTTCTGATAGTAATAAGAGAAAGGCTGAATGATAAATACATGCTTTGCTGATAAAATAATACATGTGTCTGTGCTGCTCAAGACAGTCTCAATCTTAATTTTGTAAGCTACAAAAAGGCCAATTTGGCAATTTAAGGGGTGCCCTCTATTCCTTCTCAGGGCTGTCGATGGATTTGTCCATGGGACTGACGACATCGCTAGGCCAAAGCCCGCCGTGTGTTTGGCCTCGAACGTAGTAGCCTACGAAGTTCCGCGAAGTGACGGCTTGACTTGATGGGAGGGGAGACGATTTAAAGTTACGAGCCGGCGCGATAACAAACGTGAAGGAATGAGGCTCAGTCGCGACAAATAAACAGCAGTGAATCCCACTTCTCTATTTGAGCGCCTTAAAATCGGCATGGTGCTTTTTGAATGTTGATACATGTTTGTTTGGATTTACTTAAAACTGAATGAAAATCATCATCAGCAATAAATCTCCTGTCAACAGTCCAGCTGAAAAAAATCTGATCGGCACCGCCGGTCTTGCACAGTTAACAAACAGCCCCTGATCGACACAATAATGGTCATTTTGTGCGTGGAAAGGGTAAGACAGACAGACATTAAAAAACAGGGAAAGTAAAGAAGTAGGACCTACCTGTGGCGAGAGAGAGAGAGAGAGAGAGAGAGAGAGAGAGAGAGAGAGAGAGAGAGAGAGAGAGAGAGAGAGAGAGAGAGAGAGAGAGAGAGAGAGAGAGAGAAAAGAGAGAGAGAGAGTAGGCGAAGAAAATGTTGGGGTCAGTGGATCTAGATCTAATTACAATGTTGTTAGATAATGGAAAAGAGATCATTTATCATGTAACGTCTTATGTGAAATAAGAGTTAAGAGTACAAATTAAATTCACCTGCGTCAAAAAATAGTCCCGTTAAACTAATGTTGTTTTATTGCCAGTGCGCACAGGGGTATAACAATAAGGCGCTTGTAAATATTTATAACCTCTTGGGTTCTAGATCTAGTTCACAACCAGACGTTCTGTTAAATCTCTTGAACTACATGTGCTATAGTTTGCTTTGCTTTTTATCTACCTTTTCCAAGCTATCACATGCTTTCTTTTCCCTTTCTTGTTATTATCATTCTAGCATCTGCGTTTGCTATTTTTTGGTTAAAAAGTTGCCACCAAAAAATGGCAAAAGTTGCCATTTTCAAGCTTTCAACTCTCTGTAACGACGTACAGCAATATGTTGATAGAGGTAACTTAATCTAAAGCACCAAAATTTCTGCTAATTATCTGTTTTTAGCATCCAGAATATAATTTGCACCCCCCACACAGAGTGTAAAAACGTGAAAAATAAAGGTCCCACTACAGAAGGAAATCAAAATTAGAACAGCACATAAACATCCACAAAAATTAAGAAATAAGGGCGTGTGTCCACCTATCCGAAGATGGCTGTTTTAACCCTAAACGTGCGTAATTCAAGAAAAAGTACAGGATACTACATTTAATAATGGAATCACACACAGTCAGTATTCAGTTTCGGTGGAGAAACGCTTTAACCCTAACATATTATAGCATATTTATATCTTTAAAAGGTACGCACCTTGGCCAGAGCCTTACAGAACCATCAGTTGTTTTGTATAGGTCTGGAACGATGCAAGGACAATATCCCAGTTATAGGCCTATTCAGTCTGTGGGAACTTAAACGTCAGGGTTTCATGGACAAACCAAAGAAATTTCTTTTTTTCCTGACGGAAGGAGCGCCTGATTGGACAGAGCTATAGTCGTACATACCAGTCCATTTATAGCAGCCTCTGTTATTACAGGAACCTGGATATAATTATAATAGTGTCCCCGATTTTTCTCTATATGTGTAAGTAATAATAATATGAACCTGGCTATAATGTAACTCTCAGTGATCTTGCAGCGCATGAACATTGCTTTCGATCCGTCAAATTATTTAAATTTGTCTCAACCAAGACATTATCGATTCCGTCTCAGTGTCAGCAAAACAGCCCACTGGAAAAAGATAATAATTGCCGTAATCGATATAGTAAACTGAAGGTACTGGTAGTTCTCCTTGATAACGGTCATAACAGGACTCCCTTATAACAGGAAAAAAACTGCCTGTCACGTCTGTCCTGTTATATCCAAGTTTGACGGTAGTAAATAGTACCAGACCAATCAGATCACTTTTTCGAGTTAGATCTATTATGCTTTAGATTAAGAAGTTTCGTTTGGGTGTTCGTGGAGTTTCGCTTTTTATCGGAATACATTATCATATTGTACTGACCGCATAAATAACGCGAAAAAGTAACACCCTGCGTTGAAAACAAAATGAGTATTTGCGTGAGTTGTTTTCATTTGTCTCTATTCACGATGTGTTCTTGTTATTGGATTGGTTCGATTTAAAAAACACAACACGCTCATTAGCCGCTTAAGAATCAAATAATACAACAAAGCAACCCTCTCAATCGTACGCAGTTAAAACGTGAACTGAATCGTGAAATTTTGCTCACATGTTAAGTTGGTCTGGCCTATAAATTCTCTGCCCTAAAATCTTTGATTGAGTGTTGCATAGTCCGACTATCAAGTTGCCAAGATTATCTTTGGAAAATCGAGAAAGAGCTATTGGACGTCTGCAAACCGGCGTGAGCCCTCAGCAGGTGACAACAGTCCTGGGAGTGCATGCCAGCACTATCTAGCGCCTGCAAAACAGATTCCAGGCAACTAACTTCACGAGAGATCTCCAAAGAAGCGAAAAACCTCGACTGACAACAGCTGCCCAAGACCGCTTCGTCGTGTGTCAGCATCGCCGAGATCCACGGTTGTCTGCCTCCGAGACAGCTCAGATTACCATAGGAACGCACGGTAGAGCCGTGGGTGACCGCACCATACGCCGCCGACTTGTGGCCAGGGGGTTGCATTGTAGGCGTCCAGAGCATAGAGCACCCCTGAACGTCCATCATCGACGAGCTCATCTCCAGGGGACTCAAAAACCACGTCAACTGGCGTCATCGACAGTGGCAGCGATCATGACAATAGACGGGTCCGAATTTGGCGCCGCCCCTGACAACGCTACTCTGACGAGAACATCTTGGAGAAAGACCCGTGGGAGGTCAAAGCGTGATGATATGGGGCGCAATCGGTATCAATCAAAGACTGGGCCCTATAACCTTCCAAAATGTAGGACCTGGACGTGGCAACGGAATGACGGCACAGCGCTACATCAACCAAGTGCTGCAGCCCCATCTTGCTCCATTTTCCCAGAGACGTAAAAACCACCTCTTTCAACAGGATAACGCCCGGCATCATTTAGGATATGCTACCCATCAGTTCCTGGTGCAGAACAACATACCCACCATGCCTCACTCACTCCGATCACCAGATCTGAACCCAATAGAACACCTTTGGGACATCCTTCAGAGGCGTCTCAGCCAACTCCAGTCCAGACCCCGGACAGCTACACAACTGGGAGCTGCTATTCTTCAGGAGTGGGTGCAGGTCCCCAACTGCCAAATCAATCATTGGTCTACTCCTATGCACCGCCGATGCACTGCTGTCATGAATGCTAAGGTGGGCCACACCAGATACTGACTGAAATTTAAGCCTCAAGGTCAAGGCCAATGATGCCGAATAACAAAATCTGTCCCCAAGCAAATTCCCAACTCTCATTTCTCAAGCACTGTTTTGTGCAATTTGAGACACCTCAAACCTGTTTCTCGAAATGAAAAAAATATTGCTTCAATTTACTCTTCTCTTCATGTGTCACGTGAATTCGCATTACTTTTGCCGGTAAGTATATTTTGTCCCTTAAAATTTTTGGGTGAAATGTTTTGTTTCGAATTTAGTCACTTTGCTAGAGAGCAGGAAAGGAGGTGAAAGGAGACAATTTTAGAGAAGAACGTTTATCCGTGGCTACCCGGATTCGAACCGGGACCTCTGAATGAGTGGCAAACACGTTAACCTCTAGGCCACTGGAGCCCCCC